AATTTTTATTTTTTTTGTTTATAAGACTTAAAAAAAAATGATTTCATCAGAACAAGCTCATTCACCAACTTCACCAATTCCTAAAATTAATATTAAACTTGCTGATAACAATACCAATAAAAATAATAATAAAAACAATAACAATATGAATAAAAGGTCCACATCAAGATCTAGGAGTCCAGGTCCACGACCAAAAAGTCCTTCAGGTGATAACTACAAAATGAATAACAATAACAACAACAATAATAACAACAACAAACTCATGACTTCACCAAAAAGGACCACCTCAAGATCCAGAAGTCCAAGACCAAAAAGTCCTGGTAGTAAAGACGCGGCCTCCTCACCACGATCAAAAAGCCCATTTAGCAAACAGCATAATAGAGCTGATAGTGATAACACACCAGCAAACTTCTCATCACAAGATGTACGTCAAAATTTAAAGTCGCTAAATCCTTGGCTTGGACTTGTTACTTCAAGTTCTGGCGGTGGTTCTAAAAACCAGAATAGATTAAGTTTGCCACCAGATTTTGATTTAAATCATGTAATACGTGAAAGTAACGAACGTTGGGCAAAACTAAATCTCATACCCATGGAACCGAAAGACAACAGCATGGGCAATTTTTCAAAGACTACAAGTCTTAGAGTCGCACCTATCACCATGCGACCTAAACTTGCAGTAGAAACATTCAACAACATTCCTGGTAGTAAATCGATGCAACGGACCGCTTCTGGACCTTACAATGGAAATAATAACAATTCACCATTGTTGACTGCTGATGGGTTCCCGTTGATACGATCAAGAAGTTACAATTCTGCCGTTGAAGATGTCAATCGATCATCACCTGCTTTCGCCAAAGAAATACTGCCTCTCCAACATTCCTGGTTAGTAATGTTAATTAATATATAATGTGGTTGTGTTGTTTGTTAATGTACATTTTGTTTAATTACCTCCTTATATACAAGTTTACAAACGATAGGACTCTTTAATAATGTACGCTATCTTTTATTCTTTCTTCCGGATAGGAAATAAAATAATTGGGATTTTTCACAATACTTATTATACTATTCTTTTCGTTTATTCATTCATTAATTAATTAGGTACAATTATTTTGTCGTTATTTTAATTGGGTAAAGAAACCTAGTAAGTTGGCAATGAACACCAACTTCCACATATTTAAAAATAAGATTAAACCAATGTGGGAAGATCCAGCTAATGCTAATGTGAGTTTTATGATATTAATTTAATTCAAGAATAAATAAATAAAAATATAGCAAAAAAAAAATTTATCGAACAATTTACTAATAATATTTATCTAGGGCGGTAAATGGGTAATCTCAATAAAAAATCCTCAATTACTTGATCGTTGTTGGACATGGCTTGTTTATGCGCTTGTTGGAGAAGACTTGGATGAAGCCGATGATATTTGTGGAGCAGGTACATTTATCATTAATTAATGAAGCTGAAATTTGATTGTTTTTAAAGACAAGTTTTAATAATAATTTTTAAATGCTTTCTTTAGTGATGTCACGCAGAACTAGGGGGGATAGAATTGCTGTATGGGTTAGAGATAAAGATAATGTTCCTGTCATTAATGGCATTGGGTAAACATATATAAAATTGGTTCATCTATTTTTCATTTTATTTTATTGATTAATTAATTAGGACATCTCTGCTGAAAAGAATCGACCAGTAGACTTGAATTTTTTTTTCGAAATGCCATTGAAAAGATTACATTATTACAAAAAATTATATATGGTAAAAATTTTGATAACCAATTTCCAACATAAATATAACAAACTCAATTAATAATATTTTCCTTCCACTTTATAATTAATTCTTAGCGGCTTTTGAGAGGTTCAGAACCTGGTCGGAAAGATTATAATCTTTTAGCAGAAGCCAATACACATATTGATGCACTTATAGAATTAGAAAAAAAACATGCTAAAGGATCAAACATAGATCCGAGACCAAAAAGAAGAGAAATTGATCAAAACGAAATTGATGATGATAATGTTGACATGCCATTACCAGTGCCACAAACAGTAAAATACACAGTTATCAATCCATTAGATTCTCAATCTGACTTAGAAACCCCCTCTTTACCACCACCAATACCGCAAGCGGTAAAATATACAGTTATTGATCCGGAAAATTCTCAAGGCGATTTGGAAAAGGATATAAAATCCCCGCCAATTGTTCAAAACCTACTACATCCACATAATTATCAATGGACTTTACAGGAATTTGAGAGTATGCTAGATGTAACTGAAGCAGTGGATTTATTTTCTAGACAACCAAAGGTTTATCTTTTTACAATATTATAATTAATGATTAATGATTGCCACCATTATTATCAATATTAATAATTTTCTTATCTATTTATTATTTATTATTAGAAAGTAAACATTGTTCTTCTTCCACCTCATTTACCATTTCAAAGAGAGTTGTTGTTTCAAGAAGAATTCAATATTTTTCTTCCAGAAAAGGAAAACTTTAAGGCAGTAGAGATTGGTGTACGCTTATTTTTATTGACAGATTTATTATTGATATGTCGACAATTTACTCAGGAGGAAAAAATACATAATCCTTTAAAGGAATTTTGGTTATTATTTCCACCATTAAGTGGTCGCCACTTAGTTCTTGAAGATATAGACGATGAAGATGGAGGTAAATTGTTGTTGTTGTTGTTGTCGTTGTTGTCGTCGTCGTTGTTTTATTATTATTAATTATAATACACATATATTTTTTTGCAGACTTGATGAGTTTGACAGTTCTAAAAAAAGATACTTTAATTCTTCGCGCAGAAAGACGAGAAATTAAATCAACATGGTTCGAAGCAATCTCAAAAGTAATAGATTTTGCCGTTCAAGGTATATCTATATGTAAAATATATATTACAAATATTACAAATACATACATACGTAGATATAATATATATTAATTAATCGATATAATTGATTTTAAAATAAATAGCGGCAACTCCACAGAATAACAATAAAAATGAAATGGTACCATCACTTCGTAAAGTTGGTAGCAATCCCAATTTTCCAACACCTCGACAACCGATTGAAATGCTGAGAAAAAGTCCAAGTATAGAAAATTTATCAAGCACTGATTCAGGATATGATAACATGTTGATGAATAATCAATTATCTCCATTGCAGCCATTACAGTCATTACAACCACTACAACCTCCATTATCCCCTCCATCAACTTTACCATTATCATTACCTTCTCCATTATCATCCCCTCTAGGAGCATCAAGCAGAAACGATTCAATGAGTTCATTGGAATCGGTAAATAGTATTGGATCATTTGTAGAGACACTTTATCAAACGCCACCATCCGAAATTTGCCGTTGGATGAATGATGAATGGGAACTGTTTATTAATGATAGGTGTATAGTAGAATTGAAGATGACATCCATTAAAAGACCATGTTTAGTTGTTTTACTAGCTAAAAATGGGCAAATGATTCTCAATTCGTGGATTCATTCTTCTACTACACTATTTCGTGAATCAAAAGTTGCTGTAAGTGTTTCATGTGATATTGGTCCAGATACCGAATATTACCGGTTTAGCACCCCAACTCCAGCTGATGCAGACAATTTAGTTGAAAATATAACAAAAGCAACAGCAATGACAAATGAAGTAATAGTACCCCAGGCACCGATACAAAGTGATACAGGACTTCAA